TACAAGAGCTGACTGCCAGCTCTAAAAAAAAAACAGTACCGGGGTGATGCCTACAGCTGCAGGCATCTCAGTCTTCTTTAAATCCAATTAAAGCCTCCACATTTTTACTTTCAGAGTGGCACACACACATTTTAATGCACGTTGTCATGTTAAAATATAGTTTAAAAAATAAGATTGTAAAGGACCTGTGTCTAAAGGGCTTTGAGATTTTGTAGACAGCCTAAGTTTGAGACACATCTGAGGTCATTTCAAAATAAATGACAGGTTTATTGATTTCCATCTAAACGGCATGGGGGGACCCCACCAACTTATGACATCACTGACCGAATATAAACGTGGTCAAGGTCACCCGGTCACCCTTGCCCTTTTATTTACTTCAGTGGTAAAGGGAAAAAAGGGGTGTCATTCAGTGAGAGGCAGGCAACGGGAGCAGTCGGTTGGCGACCATCATTCATTGTGAATGACATGGACACACATTGCTGGACAAGGTGGTTGATTATGGATGTACAATGGGGGACACTTCCTCATCCCCCCCCCCCCCCCCCCCAAGAACTTGTCAAACAAATGTGTTTCTATTTATTTTTTTGCAAGCTCCAAGCAGGCTTTCATGTGTTTTGCACTGAGGAGGGGCTTCCATTTAGCCCCTCTGCCATAAAGCCCAGATCGGTGGAGAGCTGCAGTGATGGTTGTCCCACCTCCAAACAGGATTTCTGGAGCTCGGTCAAAGTGACCATTGGGTTCTTGGTCACCTTTCTTACTAAAGGCCCTTCTCCCTTGATTGCGCAGTTTCGCCAGGCAACCATCTCTTGGAAGAGTCCTGCTTGTGCCATAATTCTTCAATTTGAGAATTATGGAGGCCACTGTGCTCTTGGGAATCTTCAGTGCAGCAGAACTTTTTTGTAGCCTTTCTGAGATCTATGCCTTGCAATAATTCTGTCTCTGAACTCTGCAGGCAGTGCCTTTGACCTGATTTCTTTTGCTGCGATACCGTATGCGTTGAGAAAACTACTAGTCCAGATAGCCTTAGCAAGCTGTCAGCTTATAGTTCTCAAATGAACTACCACAGTGCTGTTCGAGTTCATTGATTTGCTTGTCAGTATGTCTGCTTGCCCCTACATCCCGTAAGGGCAAGCAAATATACTGACAAGTTTGCAAGAAACATGAATCTGCTGATCGCTGGTACAATGCTTTCCAGGATCCTGCAACAAAAAATAATAAATGCACATTTTTTCACCTTCAAAAAATGTGTATTATTTGGGGAAAAAAAAATTATTCATTACTCTAGGTCTGCTAGTAAAAATCTATCTTTAGGTCATTAGGGTGTAGGCTCTGGAGTGCTAGTCTTTTTTTTTTTTTTTTATTATTATTATTATTACTACTATATGGAACATTCCACTATCTTGAGGGCAAAGTAAAAATTTGCATAACAGTGCTATAGATTATGGGGCTCCCAGGCAGGGGTGGACTGACAACTCATGGGGCCCCCGGGCAATAGGGGATCATGGGGCCCGTGTCCTCGCCAACACCCAAAAAAGCATATGAAAAAGCCAATGAAAGGTACCAAGGGCATCTCATGGGGCCCCCTACTGACACCGGGCCCACGGGCAGTGCCCGAGTGCTTGAATGGTCAGTCCGCCCCTCTCCCAGGGCATTAAAGGAAAAAAATAAAATCAAACCACCATGAAGGTCCTTTGGGAATCCTGACTCACAGTGTAGCTGCATAGCTGCAGTTTAGGAAGATTACCTTTGGAGCTGTAAGATACTTTACCTTTTCCCCTCATCTTTGTAACAACTTTTTGTTACATTGTAGAAAAAAAGTTTAAAAAGAGGTATAAAGAGATTAGTTTTGCAAGGTACAAGAATGAAGGTGTTTGAACTATTATTGTGGATTAATGCTTATTTATTTTGCTACTGACATATTTTGTATTGCCTTTGGTTCTGTCTGGGTGTGTATGTGCATTTGTATGTCTGTATCTATAATGTACAGCAGGTAAACTAAGTATTGAACGTGTCACCATTTTTCTCAGTAAGTAGATTTCTAAAGGCGTTATTGACATAAAATTTTCACCACGTCGGTAACAACCCATGCAATCGATACATACAAAGAAACCAAAACAAATAAGTTCCGAAAGTAAGTTGTGTGTAATAAAATAGAATGACGCAGGAAAAATGTATGGCAAACGCTAACTGAAATATATTTAATACTTCGTACAAAATCCTTTGTTGGTAATGACAGCTTCAAGACGCCTCCTGTATGGAGAAACTAGCCACATGCATTGCTCAAGTGTGATTTTGACCCATTCTTCCACACAGTCTTCAAATCTTGGAAGGTTCGTGGGCCTCTTCTATGAACTCTGATCCTTAGTTCTTTCAAAGATTTTCTAATGGATTTAAGTCAGGTGATTGGCTGGGCCATTTTAGCAGCTCTATTTTTATTTTCTTTCTTTGAAACCAATTGAGAGTTTCCTTGGCTTTGTGTTTAGGATCATTGTCTTGCTGAAATGTCCACCTTCGTTTCAGCAAATTTTTATCAAGAATGTCTTGGTACATTTTTTTATTCATCCTTCCATCAATGATATGAAGTTTGCAAGTACCATTTGCTGAAAACTGCCCCACACCATGATGTTCCCACCTCCAAACTTCACTGTTGGTATGTTGTTTTTGAGATGATGTGCAGTGCCATTTGACCTCCAAACATGGTGTGTATTATGGCATTCAAAGAGTTCAATTTTGGTCTTAATTGACCAGACAATATTCTCCCAGTATTTCACAGGCTTGTCTAAATGTTGTGCAGCAAACTTTAAACGAGCTTCAACATGCTTTTTCTTCAGCAATGGAGTCTTGTGTGGTGAGCGTGCATACAAGCCATAGCGGTTCTGTGTATTACTTATTGTTTTCTTTGAAACAATAGTACCTGCTAATTCCAGGTCCTTCTGAAGCTCTCCACAAGTAGTCCTTGGCTCTTGGAGAACTCTTCTGATCATTATTTTCACCCCTCTGTCAGAAATCTTGCAAGGAGCACCTGGGCATGGCCAGTTTATGGTGAAATTATGTTCTTTCCACTTCCGGATTATGGCCCCGACAGTGCTCACTGGAATATTCAGAACTTTAAAAATCCTTCTGTAGCCAACAGTATGTTTTGCAACAATAAGGTTGCAAAGGTCTTGAGAGAGCGCTTTGCTTTTACCCCTCATGAAATGTTTCTTGTGTGACACCTTGGTAATGAGTCAGCTGAGACTGAACAAGCTGATAATTTGAACTGACAAGGGGCAGGATTGCTTTCTAATTACTGATAGATTTCAGCTGGTGTCTTGGTTTTCTATGCCTTTTTGCACCTCCCTTTCTTCATGTGTTCAATACTTTTTTCCCTATGTCATTCCATTTTATTAGACATAGCACCTTTAGAAATATAATTACCTAGAAAAATGGTAACGTGTTTAATACTTATTTTACCCTCTGTATATATCTATGTATGTGTGCATGCATATATGTAAGTATGTATGTTTGTATGATTGTATAGTAAGATTATTGGTAATTAGGATAATATATTTGAATAATTAATTATTGTATAACTTTATACTGATGGGAAGCTAGATAATTTGTTATTAATTATGGAGAAGGGGAGTAAATAAGTTAGTACTTCTTCCCACTCCTTTTCAGATATGTAAACTAAATCATTTAATTTTGTTTACGGTTTTGTTTTTTTGTAATAATTTTTAAAAAATCTGTTTATTACTGTACGCTTACAGTGTTATTTCTTTTATTTCTACAGGTTCAAAATAAATTACTAATACAAAATTAGTTTACTGTAGACTTGCCCTTTGACAGTTAAAATATTAAACATTCAGGGCTTGTTGACACTATACATGCATGAAAACTGATGCGCAGAATTTACTTGCAGAGACATCAGTTTACATGCACGTTTCAATTAGTTTTATACACGTTGCAGATTGTGCAGAAAAAATCTCCACATGACACTAGTGTTGTGGTGTGAACAGGGCACACAGAGAACAATTGTTATCGTTTTGCCTTTTCAGAACACTTTTAGAAAAACTGACATTTCCGAACCAAGGTGTGAACAAGGCCTCAAACTGTAAGAAATACCCCAAACATTTTAGTGTGTGCTTTAAAATGTTATTTTTTTGCGCTATAAGCAAAAAAAGACCGACAATGTTGAGGAAAAAAAAAATATTTTTGGACTTTTTGCTATTAAACATGTCCAGTAAAAATGTTTAAAAAGAAAAAAAAAAAAAAAAAAATCACATTTTAGGCCAAAATGTTTTCTGCTACGTCTTTGCTAAAAAACAAAATCTCAATATATGTGTAAATTAATTGGTTTATGTGAAAGTTATAGCATTTACAAATGACGGTATAGATACTGGGATTTTTAAATTTTTTTTAAAATTACCTATTAGTAATGTCGGTGATCATTGACTTTTAGAGGGACTGTGGCGGGCATTCTGACACTGGGGGGAAACCAACTTGGTGTCACTGATATCCCCAGTGATCAGTGCTAAAAAACAGCACTGACACTGTACTAATGACACTGGGCAGGAAGGGGTTAATGTGAGGGGTGATCAAAGGGTTAACTGTGTGTTGGGAGTGTTTTACTGGGGGGGGGGCTTCACTGTAAGCACACTGATCAGGATGGCTGTGCACAGGCATCCCGAGCAGTATGCCCTAGCTGATAGTGAAGAAGATTGTTTGTAAACAAAACAGTCTTCTTCCCCGTTGGTGATTATCGGCAATCACCGGCCGGGACCCGGTGATTGACATCCGCAGCCGTGAATGGTGGCACGGCTCACACAAGCCCCACTACCCGGAAATGCAAAATCGCGTATATATACGTGATAATGCGCACCCGTGCTGCTGTGTAACAGTATATCTGCTATACGGCGGCAGGTAAATGGTTAAACAACTCCTAGTTCCGTCCCAGTTACATCACTTTATAAAACTGTATACTGGAATTCTGCACATAATAAAAACCGAGTACTACTTACCTTGCTTAGTGTTAAAACTTCCTCTCAATCTGGACTCTGGCTCTCTGGAAAGTGTGTCCTGGAATATCCGTTCACGGCCTGTTTCCTTAGTTGAGTATGTGTCCTCTGTTTCTCTCTCTCTAGACAATTTGAAGTCCGTTCTAATGGACTGTAGCATGGACTGCTTATTTAGCTGAGGAATGAATTCTGTAAGTCTCTGCAAGTTGCTGATATGTATTTCCCTTTGTTCAGTAGGAATTCTCCCTTCTTCCATACTCCCTTGGGAGTACAGACCAGAAGAACTGTATCCCTTCAACAAGTTATTTTGCTCTTCATCAGCATCAGGAAATGGAACTTTTGTTAGCACCTCTGAGTTCAGAAAATAGTTTTCATCTAGTAGCGATTCGTCTGGTACTCTTGGAGCCTGCTGACTGTTTGTGCTTTCTATGATCTCAGGTCTCAAGCTTTTATTAAAATTGCCATCCATACTTCTGTCTGTATTAAAAAAGAAAAACATTATTTTAGTTACATTTGAATACTATGGGGACAATTTAAGTATAAAATAAATAAATAAATTGCCACTCATCCAGCAAATCTTCATGCAAGTTCTTTAGGGATGTTTTTTCTTCTGAACAAATGTTCTTTTATTATGGGCATCAATAAAATCCTGGCCACTAGAAGGTGCTCAGTAACAGAGAGATACAATGAGGTACAATGCAACATTTCTAGACAACCCTAGGAGGAATGAACAAATACATGTAACCAATTATCTGCCAATTCCCTCTAGTGTTCTCCAGAGTGGCCACTTTGAATCTCTTGCTACAAATAAATGTGTATTTTTTAAGTTCCACAGCTCCATCTAGTGGCCATGATGTGGTATTTGCTAATGTCCAAAATAAAAACATTTGCTCAGAAAGGAATATGCCCAATTTGCACAGAAGGAAGTGTGTATGCAGATTCACTTGACAAATGGCCATACCATTTTTTTTTTTACTAAAATAGACCCCTTAATGTGCGATAGTATTTGTTACATCAGCCTGCCAATACATGAATAGAAATTCAGCTGGTCCCTGCTGAAGCAGCCAAAGTTCAATCCACATATGGCCAGCTTTAGCCTTGCCAATAAGGGTACCAATTATGGGATGGACATAGGGACAGCGGGTTAGGTTACAGAGCAAGTCAGGTTGAAAAAAAAAAATACCCATGGAGTGCAGCCAATAGACAAAACTTCTCTGAAAGCACATTAAAAATGAAACAAAACAAAAATGAAACATACAAGCAATATGCTTAACGCGGTATTAAACCCAAAACTGAAAATGTAATAAATTGCAGCTCACCAATCATTAGATGTGGTGGCTGAATTAGTTTTTTGTTTTTTTTTTCTGATCTGGTCAGTAACACACCTCCTGTATTCTACAGATACCATTCTGAAGGAATGAGCACAGGGGCAGATTTGTACAGCAGCATCATCGGTCAGAGAAGGGGAATGTTAGAAGTACTAGAAGATTTGAATACAGTGAAAAACTGAAGCTGAACTCCAGCTAATACTTTATAATCTGTTACAGCAAACAGTTTTTCCTGTTGGGTTAAAAGGTGTTACATAAAAAAAGCTGATCATTGTAAGCACCCCTTCCATTGTTAAATGGTTTGTCTCATCCCTGTAACTGCAAGAGAGCTTTTCTCTTGAAAAACAACAGACTCACTGGCCAGATCACCAGATGAAAATAGAAAAAAGAAAAACCTAAACAAATTAACTAATGCAGCCATCACATCTAAGAATTGGCAAGCTGTGCTTTTGGGTTTAATACTGCTTTAAATATATGACACAAGTTAGAAAAAAAAAAAAAACAAAGTAGAAAATATTTTCCTCCTGCTCAGCGGGGTATCTGTCAGCTGATCCTAACGGATGAGGCGGATAAAAGGTCTATTTCCACTCCACTTATGCAGCGTGAACACAGACACAGCCGCTTTCCTCTATAGGCAGTTGAATGTAAACAGATCACCTGTGTTTACATCTGTCACCAGATGGTGAATGGATCCCCGTCTGTTTTCAGCAGATCAGATCAAATGCAGGCGATGTAAATGGACACACATCTGTTTACAGCCGTCATCCCATAGAGGACAATGGGGGCATAATTACAATGACCACAATAGATGTGTGCCTGTCCCCCCCCCCCCCCCAATACTGAACCCTGAATTTATAGATAACCTGGCACTATGCATAGAAAACTAGGTCCAGATCCAAGTACCAAGACTTTCCTAAACTATCATGCCTGAAGTAGCTGCCTGTTTGCTTTATTAACCAAAAATGACGCTCACTGTTATATGCGATTGGGAAAGGAAATTTTCATCAAGTTACAAGGTTTTTGTTTTTATTGATACAGAAGGTTACAGCACAGAATATAATATAGATTCTCTTAAAATGTATCCATGGTCAAAGTTTACAAAATAAACAAAAGCCTTTGTGAGCTGCTATGTGATAATAGATCAACAATACCAGTCTTATAAAACATGTGAAAGCTGCCTACATCCTTCACATTCCCATATATACAGTCATGGCCGAAATTGTTGGCACCCTGATATTTTTCCTGAAAATCAAGTATTTCACACAAAAAAGGTATTGCATTAACACATGTTTTGCTATACACATGTTTTATTCCCTTTGTATGTATTGAACAAATATAAAACAGAGGCAGAAAAGCAAATATGACATAATGTCACACAAAACCCCAAAAATGGGCTGGACAAAAGTATTGGCACCCTTAACTTAATATTTGGTTGCACACCCTTTGGAAAACATAACTGAAATCAGTCGCTTCCTATAACCATCAATAAGCTTCTGACACCTCTCACCCGGAATTTTGGACCACTCTTCCTTTGCAAACAGCTCCAGGTCTCTCTTATTGGAAGGACACCCTTTTCCCAACAGCAATTTTAAGATCTCTCCACAGGTGTTCAATGGGATTTAGATCTGGGGGCTCATTGCTGGCCACTTCAGAACTCTCCAGCGCTTCTTTGCCATCCATTTCTGAGTGCTTTTTGACGTATGTTTGGGGTCATTGTCCTGCTGGAAGACCCAGGATCTTGGACGCAAACCCAGCTTTCTGACACTGGGCCCTACAGTGCGACCCAAAATCCTTTGGTAATCCTCAGATTTCATGATGCCTTGCACACAGTCAAGGCACCCAGTGCCAGAGGCAGCAAAACAACCCCAAAACATCATTGAACCTCCACCATATTTTACCGTAGGTACTGTGTTTTGTTCTTTGTAGGCCTCATTCCGTTTTCGGTAAACAGTAGAATGATGTGCTTTACCGAAAAGCTCTATCTTGGTCTCATCTTCCACAAGACGTTTTCCCAGAAGGCTTTTGGCTTACTCAAGTACATTTTGGCAAACTGTAGTCTTGCTTTTTTATGTCTCTGTGTCAGCAGTGGGGTCCTCCTGGGTCTCCTGCCATAGCGTTTCATTTCATTTAAATGTCGACGGATAGTTCGCGCTGACACTGATGCTCCCTGAGCCTGCAGGACAGCTTGAATGTCTTTGGAACATGTTTGGGGCTGCTTATCCACCATCCGGACTATTCTGCGTTGCAATCTTTCATCAATTTTCCTCATCCGTCCACGACCAGGGAGATTAGCTACAGTGCCATGGGTTGCAAACTTCTTGATAATGTTGCGCACTGTGGGACAAAGGCAAATCTAGTTCTCTGGAGATGGACTTGTAACCTTGAGATTGTTGATATTTTGCCACAATTTTGGTTCTCAGGTCCTCAGACAGTTCTCGTCTCCTCTTTCTGTTGTCCATTCTCTTAGTGTGGCAAGACAGACATCACAATGCAAAGGTTAAGTGAACGTCTCTCCTTTTTATCTGCTTTCAGGTGTGATTTCTATATTGCCCACACCTGTTACTTGCCCCAGGTGTTTACAGGAGCATCACATGCTTGTATTCTTATTTATCCGCAGTTGTGAAAGGGTGCAATACTTTTGTCCAGCCCATTTTTGGAGGTTTGTGTGACATTATGTCGAATTTGCTTTCTTTCCTCCCTTTTTTTGTTTTGTCCCAATACACACAAAGGGAATAAACATGTGTATAGCAAAACATGTGTTAATGCAATACGTTTCGTGAGAAATACATGATTTCCTGGAGAAATATCAAGGGTGCAACAATTTCCCATGACTGTATATATATTTGTGTACACTTCAAATAAACCAAATCAGGGGTTCCTCCTTATCACAGCATTGACTTCAGCCCCCTGATGACGTCACGTGACCCTGTGACGTAAAGCATAGGGGAGGGGCTGGATGACATCACGATCCAGGCTGGGGAAAGAGCCTGACCTTAATGTTGGGATCCACCCCAGAGGCTGGAGGGGCACCTTGCTCAGCCTCTCAGAAAAGAGAGCCTGAGCCAGCTGCATAAGAGTGCTTGGGGGGGCAGCAGATGCTATAACTGACAGTCACTGCTCTCTGCTCAGAGCAGATGTTCTGACACTTTAAGCTGGCGGGGGACAGATGCAGCATTGGTAGGTAAGTATAACTGGGGCAAAAAAAAACCCATACTTTTCTTTAAAGGATTAAGCACAATTGTTGGACGTTTTTTTCTCTCTATATGTTGCTGAGTGGAAGAGCATATTGGAGAGAGTCTGGAGATCACAACACAGCAGTATTAAGGAACAGTGAAGAGTCCATTCATTGAGAAGAAACAACACAGTCCACATTGGGGGACACAAGCGCTGTATGACCCTAAATAACCGTAAGGTCATAGGTGAGAACGCATCTGGTGATGGTCACACAGTAAATAAAAAGGCACAAGCACAGATGGGTGATTCACTATAAAGAAGCTATATTTGAGGAGGAAAGAGCACTAAAGTGACTGCAGTTTTGGACTTTTGGATGTTTTAATTATCTGTGTAAAGCTGAGCACATTGTTTTATTTTATGCTCAAAATGTTACCACTTAAGCTCCGGAAGGTTTTAACCCTTCATGACCAGGCTATATTTTTGCTATTCAGCACTGCGCTACTTTAACTGGTAATTGTTAAACCACCCACTGTACCCAAATGAAATTTATATAATTTTTTTCCATAGAGCTTTCTTTTGGTGGTATTTGATCACCACTGGTTTTTCTTTTATAATTTTCTTGTGTAAAAGAAAAAACAAACATTTTGAAAAAAAAAAAAAAAAATTCTACTTTCTGTTATAAAACATATCCAGAAAAAAAAAAAAAAAAAAAAAAAAACACACACAAAAACCCAATTTTCTTCATAAATTTAGGCCAAAATGTATTCCACTCCATGTCTTTAGTAAAGGAAAAATCCCAAGTGTATATTAATCAGTTTGTGTAAAAGTTATTGTGTCTCCAAATTATGATATATATTTCATTAATTGATCATTCCTGATGTACTGACTACTATCTCATTTTTGAGGCCCTAAACTAAAGGACAGTTCAAAACTGAAGTTGTAATTCATTTTCTCACAATGTTTTGGAAAATGAAA